TGTACTTTAATATTCAATTAATGAAAATGGACTTCCGGGACACACTTCCTTGCCAGAAATGTTGTTACTCGAGGCAAAGCACCAGAGGAACAGGAATGTAGGAGGCAGAGGCACTTTCAACACAGAAAAACCGTGTGGAAATGTGTCTGTGCTCAAATAGAAGCCCAACTAGGCAATGCGAAGTAGGTACGATCCATGACATGGGTCACGGCAGAGGTGCTTGTGTTAAGCGATTGGACGCACGGGAAGAGAGCTGGATCAGAAGAAAGTAAAGAAGCACTGAGAGGACACATTTCCATGGGTTGGCTGGAAGAGGAATTTACAGATGTTTGGGGGTGGGGGTGGGGTGAAAACAAGAGTAAACAAGGCTTACTTCAGTCAGCAGGCCCACCCATCACCAAATGCGCTGCTTCTTGGCTCCTGTTTCTACCTGTAAACGATTTTCTGTCAAATAGAAAATATCTTGAGAACCCTAGCTGCTAACAAACAAGTACCATCTTGGACTAATTACCTGGAACGAATGTTCCTTGAGAAGGGTAAATATGACAGTTAAAACCTGGATGGGGCGCCTGGCTGGCTCAGTTGGTTGGGCGTCCGACTTCCGCTCAGGTCATTATCTCGCAGACCATGGGTTCGAGCCCCATGTCGGGCTCTGAGCTGACAGCTCAGAGCCTGGAGCCTGCTTTGGATTCTGTGTCTCCCTCTCTCTCTGCCCCTCCCCCACTTGCTCTCTGTCTCTGTCTCTCAAAATCAAATAAAGACAAAAAAGAAACAAACAAACCTGGTAACCTCGACATAAGAGGACAGCAAATGGGCATTGCTAAAAACAGAGAAGACCATGGAAGACCCTATATGAAGCATTGATCCAGAGACAAAGCTAAAAACTACGGAGAGAATCTCTGGTTATTAGAGTTACCTAAGAAGAAAATATGACACTCTGTGTAGTAGGGAGTTGCCTAACGCTGAGAGTGTTCAATGGGAGGTGGTCATGTGGAATAGGAGATTCTTGCAACAGCTAGAACAGTATGAATGGTTTTTAAGACCTACTCCAACCCTATGTAAAGGAACAGTGATGAGTGTCAGCGATGGAAACAACGGAGATGACTAGGCCATACTCCTAAATTTCTCCTCCCAAACGGGTTGAGAAGGTGAGAGTCATATTCCAGACTTCTATCCAACCACTATTCTTTCCCCTGTCCTCAACTTCTAAAGGCAAAGAGCTTTGTTCATGCTGAAAGCCATGGTATAACCACAGAAAATAAAAACTCTGGATGATGATATACTATTATTCTTTTCTCAGCAAAATGAGATTGCATTACCCCATGCAGTGGGGTGGGCTGCAAAGCTTAATGGTGCACGTTCATTTATCAGAAGCAGGCTCATGCTCCCCCAGCACCCAACACCGTGCATAAGGTGTATGAATAAACCCAGTTCCTACAAGTCAATTTTACCTTCAGATCTGGGGGGCTACACATGCCAAGTGTCTGCCTGTACTGGTTTGTTCAGTAAAGTCAAACAGTACAGAAGAGAATGCAAAATTCACATGAGTTTTAAGATTAAATACAAGATTTTAAAGGAAGTGCTTGCTTCTATGGGAGTATTTATGGTTATATTTACAGATCCCTGAAGAAATACATTCTTCTCCACAACAGGGTACTTTGGTTAAAAAAAAAAAAAAAAAAAAAAAGTTTTATAAACAAAGACTTTTTCCAGGACCTTTAGATAGAGACTCTTGCCTTCTCTTTTTGGTTTTCCTATACAAAGTCCAGAAAGGAGAAGGTTAGTCCCTGAAAATACGCTGTGCTCAAAGCTAGCTATAAGAATGGTTCTAAGTAATTTGGTTTTGGTTTTCTAGGTCATAACCTTACCTATTCATACAACTCCTGAGTTCCTCAAATTCCTCATACAGATATTTAAATGCATTAACTTTCAAATGCTTTCCAAAAAATATTGTACATAAACACAGAGGTACACAAAGCTGCTTACAAATCCTTATACTCAAAGCAGGAGAGTAGCTATGAAAACCTCCGAGCCCTGCATTTACACATGGAGTGCGATTTGGAACAAGGCCAGCCACCAAGGGCAAGCCTTACCTGGGTATCGACGACACAAGCAGTTTGCTCTGCGTCTAACTTGAGAATGTGGAAAACAGTCCTCGCTACTCAGTTATGGTGGCTGAAGTTTTAAGTGCTGGTTCAAGCATTTCCATGTGCTGTCTCACAAGCTGGGTGCAGCAAGAAGGCATTACTGCGCCCAATGGACACATGACAAAACTGAGGATGAAGGGTATGAAAGTTGCCCAAGCCAAGTGCCTAACCTACAAGCTACACGACTGGATTCAAACTCAGGTCTTACTTCAAAGTTGTATCATTTTTCTTCACCATATCGTTTGTCTTTCTATTCACTGTGTCATTCTGCCTCTTCCTTCTAATCCACCTTTTTTCTTTCAACAAACCCTTTTCTTATTACAGTAATCACTGGATTGCTTATCATCCATCTGAAGTTCCATCTGAGGCTTTAATTTCTGATTAGCAATTGTGATGCAGGGTTAGGGTGGCAAAGCATGGCTGCTTTGTTCTCACAGAATCATCTACTGTGTTGGGATTATTTAACTGCTATTAGGGCATAATCGATGCTTCAGATGTCCGTAGGAGGGTCTGACACAAAAGCACCCAAGTATCAGTCAGACCAATCTAAGCTCTAGCATTTACAGCTCTCTTTCCTTAACAGGTACAGTTTTCTGATCACAGCTGGAACTCTGTTTATTTGTGTGTTGTGGGGCAAGGTTAATAGCCACGAAAGAAGTAGCCTAAATCTTCCCCGCAGTAAGACCAAAAGGTGCCTTAGCTGTTCCTATTACATTTAGATAGACAAGACACCCTCCCTGTCAATCTGTCCTGGGTAGAATAAAATGAAAAACAAATGATCCAAATTGATTTTTATTTTCAATATCTCTGGATCCAGATATAAGGCTATCTTATTCCAAGAGGTATTATATCACCACAAACACCTTTTTCTGGTTTAAAAAAAAAAAAAAAAACATCGATTCTCTTCTCTCTTTTCTTTGAATCTAACAATTTCTAAAAACTGTCCATTTTTCTCTTTTACTCCCCACTAATAGTTGCACTCTATGTCTGACCTCTTCTCATGAAACATCATTGTAATTTCTCCAGTGTTTTCTCCGACTATTTACTCCACGCCCCTCATAACTCCTGTTTATAGTTGGGTAGCCCTGTCAGTTTCACTGCTCATTCCAGATAGGCACTCGGCCAATATATTGCCAATAACACTCACTCTTGTGCTAACTTAAAATACACAGTGCAGCTGGCCAAGTTTCCTTATTTGGCAAGAAGGTCCCTTAGTTCCCAAGATCTTTGACCATCCATTTTTAGATCCAAATCCTCCTGCTTAATATCTGGATATTTCTCTTTGTCTCTTTCTAATGTGTATTATGTGCTCCCTAAAAGAGTAAGATGAGATCAATCATCTTTGCTTTCATAGAGAAGGGTCCTTGTCATTGCACTGTGGTCATTTACTCTGGAATTATTGCCATTATAACTTTTGATTTAAATATTATTTTCCTCCAGGTTAAAAAAAACCTCGAGAAAAGTTGTTGTAGGAATTATGCTGTGAAAGACGAAAATAAAGAGTACACATTGCTTTATAAGACCATTTTCCCTTATGTTAATTCACCCTGTCCAAACAAACCAAATTCACGTTCATTTGCAATCTCCCAAATCTCTCACTACGGTAGCCAGAACTTTAAACAAAGGCTCTACAAATGACCAAAACCATAACTAAAATGCAGCCGTCACGTGTTTTTTCAGAAACTCGAAAAACGACATGAAATTTCACTGTGGAGATCTGGGCCTACTACAAGGAGATCATTAACCGTCTCCAATCACCTGTTTCTTTTCGTCTTTAAAAGTGATTGTGGGTCGGGATCCACTGAATTCTCACTGCTCACTTCAACTGAGGTCAGGAGAGCAAGAAGGCTCTCCTAAATCCCCTTCAGGGATACACCAGGAATATACTATAGCAACCATCTGAGGCGATTCTAATACACCATTATTAATAGAGAGCTGTTTACTGCAGTATCATTGGAACGGGCCACGAAATGATGTTGCTTTCATTATTACCAAAAATACTAATTAAGTCCTCCGTAAACAGTGCTTATGCAAAGATCTCGAGGCGCAGCAGAAACGCACATTTGCAGCAATCGAACAATGCGCTGCCCCGTTTTTTAGGCCAATTCCAAGCCACCTCGCCGGGTCTGGGGCAAAGTCGGTCCGCAAGCTGTCAGGAGCTAGCGAGGCGTGGCGGCCGCCTTGGCGCTGCCCTGCCGGCCTGGGGACGCCACGGGGTCGCCGGGGGACAGCCTGGCCCCCTCGCCGGCGGCAGAAGGGGCCGCTGGAGGGGGCGGGCGGCGCGGGCTGCACGCTGCCCCGGGGAGGGCCGCTCGCGGTGGGAGAAGCCGCCCGGGCCGGGAGGAAAGCAGAAGTTCGCGGTCTCTCCTCGCACGCACAGCCCTCTGCCGGGAAGTGGCCTGCGCCCTGCCCTGATTTGGAAGACTCGCGTTTCGCCTCCCAGAAGTGCCGGCTCGCCCGCTGAGAGGCCGGCGCTCGGGCCCGGGGGGCCCGGGCTCGGCCGGCGGGGCGCCCGGCGTTCGGCGAGGGGGAAGCGGCGGCCCCGCAAGCCGGCGCCGAGCGCAGGGCCGAGGAAGCCCGACACGCTGCGCCCGCTCTTCCGGGCGCCAACTTCTGCGTGCGACCGGCCCGAACTTCGGGCCCTCTGGGCCGCGGCGCGGAACTCCGCGGGCGGCGGGAACGCTCGCTCCGGTCGCAGCCGCACGGAGGGCCCCGGGCCCGGGACGGTGCCCAGCGGGGCCCCGCGGGCCGTTAGGGCCTCGGCCCCGAGACGCCGGGAGACTCGCGAGCGCGGCGGGGGGGGGGGGGCTCCGACCCACCCTCGCCCCCCGCGGCCTGCGGCCTGGCCCTTACCTGGCTCCCGAGCCGGGCGCGAGCGGCAGCCGGGGGCGCCGAGGCCCGCGCGCGGCGAGGACAGGGACGGAGACCGGGGGTCGAGAGGACGGCGGCCCGCGCGGCTCCCACGCTTCCGCCCGAGTCAGGAGTTGAACATTCCGCCTCTCCGCCCCGCGCCAATGAGGAAGACAGTCGCGGCAACAGCACCACCTACCTCCGAGCGCGGAACGGCCCGGCCTCCCTGCCCGCGCAGCTGCTCCGACGCGCGGGCCGGCGGGGCGTGGGGAAGCGCTCGGGCCTCCCGGGCCTGCACCCCCGAGGGCGCCGGCCGCCCCCGCGCCCTGGCAGCCGCAGCAGCCCCGGGACGCCGGAGCTGGGCGGGGAGCGCGCCAGCCCCGCCGCGCGCGGGGCGAGGGGAGAGGGAGGCGTGCCTCTGGGCCTCTCCGTAGCTTCACCTCCGTTTAACACGTTGACCCCACCTGCATGGTCAGCTCAGTCCTTATCCACAAGTATTTACTGTGGCAGAGGCGCTGGGAGTACAAAGAGATGGGAGGCTGCTTCATACCCCGCAGGAGTTAATTATCTAGTTGGGAAGGAAGGGCACAGACGTGGAGAGATCATTTCTAGGAGATAGGGCTGAAGGCTGCTCCAGTGGAACCGTAAGTAAGTACGTCCGGAATTGTGAGGAGGGGTCATGGTCTCTGCCCTGGTTGGTGACTTTAACAGAACTGAGTTCAGATGAGAAGACTAGAATCCGTTCCACGTGTGAGCAACAGGTGGCAATACGTATTGGGGGAAAAACGTGACTGTTGACTGGGAAGGATGATTTGTGGAGGAAAAGTGAGCTGAGGTCGCAAAGGCAAGCATCATCCAGGGGTTTGAGTTTGGGTTTTATTATCTGTGGGCCCTGGGGAGCTGTGGAGAGCTAGAATCATTAAAATAGGTGTTTGTGTTTGCACAGTGATTTAGAGAGAGAGCAGCCCACGCTGTTGTAGAATGCGTTGCTAAAGCAAAACTGGGAGGCGGCGTGAGAGGTCAATATTGTCACTACGTCTTAACAGGATTGTGAGGACCTGAGCAGGAGTGTACAAAATGGAACCCGAAAAGGGGGGATGGAATTGAGAGCCACGTTTCGGGAGGTGGAAGAGAAGAAGCCAAGAGTCAGAAGCGATGCCCAGGTGTCAGACCTGGGTGACTGGAAGAAGGATGGTGTCATTGACAGAAATAGGGACGCGGGGGGATGGGGGGGAGAAGCTGGCTTCCTGTTGAGTTCCAGGTCATGGGAGGAAGAACAGGTAGAGATGCAGCAGTTGAAATATGAAACGGAGATTCAGAAAAGAGGTCGTGAGAGAGATACAGTTGTAAACCAGCATCCAGTGGAAGATATGAAAGCAGAGGGATGGAGGGATATAAGCTAACCGCACAACTTTCTAGCCTGTTATTCAAACTGTTGGATTTTCCCTGTGGTGAGAACACGGAATGTTAGCACCGATGGAGCCTATTTTGGTAACTGAGAAATTGGGGTTGATGAAAACTGTCAGGCTAACAAAATTGCTGATGTAGGTAATCACATGATTCTAAAAATCGTCCGAACATTGAAGAGTAAAGTAGGGCTCTTCAGGATAGACCCAGGGAGAGGTGACCAGTACCTCTGTGTCACTTTTGAAGGCACTGCACTTGATGGAAAGGACACTGGGAATCCGAGAACCCAGCTCCTGGTTTTAGTCCTGCCACTAATCAGCTGGGCTCCTTTGCCAGACAGGCCTTGGTTCTCTCCTTCGCGGAAGAAGAGGGCCCAGTTGGATGTTAGCCCCAGGCTCCGGCTTTAAACCTGTGAATGTATTACTTTAAATTTGGAGCGCGTGCCTTAAGAGTCTTCACATTTTTACCACATCCCCTTTCCTACCCACCCATTTTTCCTCCATTCTGTCTTCCCCACATAATTAGGTGAAGAGAATAACCGGGAGGAACACTGAACCCTAAAGAGCACTTTCACAAGTCCGCTTAAGTGATCATCTGGTAGGCATTCTCTTCTCTTCCCAAGTAGGTTGCAAGTTCCTTGAGGTGGTATCTTCTATCCTGTTGTATCTGTCCGTAGCCGAAATAGGCACATAATTGGGTGATAAACTGGTTGCCCCAAGTCTGACTCTTCTTTGGTCAAGCTGCCCTTTTCCTTATGACTGTATTGATCTCTTTGGGCCCCAGACCTAATAAATAAAGTCTAGTGTTCTTCCCATGCCTGACTCTGCTTTTTCAAACTTTCAAGTCCTTTTTCTTTTTCTTTTTCTTTTCTTTTTTGAGAGCATGTTGGTTAATTCTCACCTGCATAGCTTTACACATGTAAATAGCAATAGAAAAGAGACCTAGTCAAACCTCTCTTATCAAGTCTTTCTATTCCTTCACTTCAAATGCCTCTGCACTAAAAATAGATGTACTCTCAGCAGTGGGGTGGATTGGGAGTCCTTAGCACCCTCTTATATCCAAGAACATCCTCCAAAATAAATATGCAATGTCAGTAAAAACAAAACAAAACAAAAAAAAAACAGTGTATTTGCTATGCAAATAGCTTAAAGAAAAATGTTTTCTGGTCCCCCATTCAGATCCTTCTCCTCTTGAATAGAAATTCTGGGACCACCACCAACTATGGGTAGATCAGAGAAGTGTAGACATAAATCCTATTAAGAGGATAGAAGGAAAGGCAATTTACAAGGAAGAAAGCATTCTGATTATCCTTCCCTCCCTTTGCAGTGATGGGAGTTGTGAGGCACGCTGGTAGCCAGGCGCATTTTCTTTAGCCATCTCAGTCCCCCATTGCAGACCGTGAGTCGTCTGTGTCGACATCATGCCTAAGAATGACCAGCTTTTACACAAAGGTTGTTGTTCTACCTCCTGCATCACTCTGGGAAATGAAGGCTCACCATCACGGAACCTTTAAGATAAGCAATCATTGCCTTCAAATCACAAATGAAGCCCAGGTCACTGTTGGACCTTAGCTTTCATATCTAACGTAAGGACTTAAGAATTCACAAGAGTATTTCAAGTACCAAATATGCTTAGGTGTCCCAGAGCATGAAAGGCGCAAGCAGCGGGGCATGAGGAGAAATAGGAGACTTATGCAAAATGTGTTCAACAGCCATTTACTGAATGGCAGGCATTATTCGGAGCTGGTGATTATAACAGTGCCCAAGACGCGACTTTGTTCTCAAAGTTTGCTGAGTGCAGTGGAGAAGCCAGGAAGACACAAGTGATTATATTGTGATGTGCTCTTAAGAGGCCAAAGATTGTGGAATTATAGCAGGGCCCCTAACATCATTTTGAGAAGTCAAAGAACCCCTACATCCAGAGGAGAAGAATGAGGTGAACCTGCTGGACAAAAAGATGGGAAAAGTATCATAGGCAAAAGGAACAGTAAGTACAAAGGCCCAAAAACATTTAACAAGTTCAAGGAATAAATCCTTCAGATATCTGAGTAAAGGCATTGCCAGGAGGGAGTAATAGTTCTCACCATGGTGGAAATAGTAGCAACAGTAGCAATAAGAATCATGATCATGATAATAACAGCAATGGCTAGTATTTACGGAGAGCTCATGTGCTGTGCACTGAGCTAAGAGTTTTCCACACACTCTCCATCACAACAATCCTATCAGGCAGTTCGAATCATCATCCCCCGCTGTAGGGCAAGAAAAAGTCTCGGAAAATTTTAGCAACTTGTCTTCCTGCAGGGACCAAGAGGTGGACTTTAGGGTTTATTCTTTCAATTTTTTTATAGTTTGTATTTCTTTTTTTGAGACAGAGCATGAGCAGGGGAGGAGCAAACAGAGAGGGAGACACAGAATCCGAAACAGGCTCCAGGCTCTGAGCTGTCAGCACAGAGCCCCATGCGGGGCTCAAACCCACGAACCGCGATATCATGACCTGAGCTAAAGTCAGACACTCAATCCACTGAGCCACCCAGGCACCCCAAGGGGCTTATTCTTTCAGATTAAGCAATTCTCCGATGCTTTGATCTCAGGACTCCTTTACACTCTAAACGAGTGCTCGAGGGTGCCAAATAGTTTTTCTTTATGTAAGTTCTATCTATCAATATTTATCACATTAGAAATCAAAACAGAAATCTCTTTATTTAAAATTAACTTATGCTAGATTAAGTAACATGTTTTAATGAAAAAACAAATACTGTCCAAAAAAAAAAAAAAAAGTGGTGAGAAGAGTGTTGTTGTTTTATATATTTGCAAACCTCTCTGACATCTGGCCCGAAAGAAGACAGTTGGATTCTCATATTTGCGTCTGCATTTGCTGTATTCCAGTATCACACAACATGTACCCTCCAGGAGAGTCCACCGAACTGTACGCTTATAAGAGAGCACAGTGAAAATAACATTTTCTTATCTCTAGGAGATGAGATTTGACCTTACAGGTTGACTAAAGGGGTTCCCAGAAGTACATTTTGAGAGCTGCTATTTTAGAGAGTCTGAGGTACTCCTTGAGCCAGAAGGAATCAGTCACCTTGTGTCCTGCCTGCCTCAAGATGCAGCGTCACAGGGCAGCTGCCTGGAACAGGAAAGAAGCACTTTGCTAGACCTCATAAATCTGGGAAGTGATACCAGTGTATCCCTAAGCAGCTGTCACTTGCTTGGGACCATACTGCCCTGGTGGTCATGAAAGATGAAGGCTACATACCCGGGTCTTGAGTCGCATGCACTGCTCACTCTTTGCTACTCTTTGCTGTGCTAGTCTTCTTTGGTATCCAAGATCTAAAATGAGATTGGGGCGCCTGGGTGGCTTAGTCGGTTAAGCGTCCGACTTTTGCTTAGGTCATGATCTCGCGGTTTGTGGGTTCGAGCCCCACGTCGGGCTCTGTGCTGACTGCCAGCTCAGAGCCTGGAGCCTGTTTCAGTGTGTGACTCCCTCTCTCTCTGACCCTCCCCTGCTCACGCTGTCTCTCTCTCTCCGAGAAATAAATAAAACATTAAAAAAAAAATTTTAAATGAGACTGAATCATAACCGAGCTTGTCATACCCTTTCAGCATTGGTCTTTCCCGTCTCTCCCACTTTCCCTTAGCCCTACTTTATTGCAAGAAACTCTTATTCTCCTTCCCCA